CTCATTCTTGGGCATCAGCCACCTCCCCCAACACACACGAAAACCTACACCAACTGGAAAGGATTCAAGAAGTCCCTAGCTAAAGCTCTGGACTCACAGGACTCTACCATCTCCCTACCGTCGGACTTGGTCAGTCCCGAAAAAATCGACACCGCGGTCGATTCACTCTCCACCCTTATTAAATCCTCCCTTAAGGAGAACGAAAGGGTCGCCCCGGTTGCTAACAATAGTGGGCTTCCCCTACATATTAGCAACCTATTAAAAGCCAAAAAAGCTGCTTTCCGGAGAGCAGCAAAATATCCCACCCCCGAATATAGGCGCGCGGCCAATCGTCTTCAACGAGAACTCCGTTTCCGCCTCTCTGAATTTAGAGACCTCGAAAAGAGTAAACTCATGGAGAATATCCCTCCATCTCATACAGCGTACTATCAGATGGCCAGAGCCCTCCGCATAGACGCTATCACCCACACTCCCCCTCTCTCCCGTCCCGACGGCACGGTTGCCTTCGAGGACGAGGAAAAGGCTGAGTGCTTTGCAGATAGCATTGCCGCACAATGCTCTCCTAGCTCTCAACCCGTCGACCCCTCACACGTCCAGGCAGTGGAGGATGAGGTCCGCCGCCGGAACTCACCCCCTACGGCCTCCGAACCTATCACTGTGTCCAATGATGAGATTTCATCCCTCATCAAAGGACGTAAGCCGAAAAAGGCTCCGGGCGCGGATGGCATCTCCAACCAAGCCCTAAAACACTTTCCAGAGCAGGTGTTAACCTTTTTATCCATTATCTTCAACGCCTGCTTCAACCTTAGCTACTTTCCCACTACGTGGAAAGAGGCAACTGTGATTGGAATTCCCAAGCCAGGCAAGCCTCTTAACCTCCCCCTCCAGTCATCGCCCCATTAGCCTCCTCAAGGCAATGGGCAAGCTCTTCGAAAGAGTCATCCAATCACGTATGAGGCGTTATCTGTTTCCCACAGACGGTGACCCTCTCATCATTCCCCATCAATTCGGGTTTCGAGCCCAACACTCATGTCCCCAACAAGTTCACCGCATTGTGGAATATATCCTCAGCGGTTTCTATCCTCGTCGTCATAAGACCATCGCGGTCTTTTTCGACATAGCCAAAGCTTTCGATAGGGTCTGGCATACAGGCCTTATCTACAAACTATACAAAATAGGTCTCCCCGATCGCCTAGTACGTCTCGTGGCCTCTTACCTAGAGTATCGTACCTTTCGTTTTAGACACGAAGGCACGCTATCCTCACAACGAACTATCAAGGCTGGTGTCCCACAGGCCTCAGTACTTGCTCCTCTGCTGTACATCCTGTTCACCAACGACATTCCCATCCCGTCGAAAGGTGTTCAGCTCTCCCTCTTCGCAGACGACACTGCTATCTACTGCAAAGGTGTCTCACTGCCCTTCATACGGAACAAGATCCAAAAGTCAGTTGATGACTTAGGAGCTTGGTTCAAAAAATGGCGCATCGATGTGAACCCGGAGAAGCGCTCCGCCGTTCACTTCGACTATAAACGTCGCCGTCTCAAAAGCACTCCACCAATACGTATGCTAGGGACCCCTGTCCCCTGGCATACGACCGCCAAATATTTAGGTGTCACTCTGGACACAGGGCTCACTTTCAGGCCCCACGTCAAAAGAGTAACCCGTCACGCACGGTTTTATCTGAGTAGGCTCAACAGTATGTTGGGCCGACACAGTAAAATGTCCCTCCGAAACAAGCGTACCCTTTATAAGGTCTGTATAAGACCAGTCATGTCCTACGCGGGCCCCGTCTTTGCCCACGCAAACCCTAATATTATTAATGAACTCCAAATAGTTCAAAACCTTTTCTGTCGTCGAGCTGCGAACGCACCTTGGTAGGTCCGTAATGCCGACCTTCATCGGCATTACGGACGTACCAAGGTGCCGTAGACCTAGACCTAGAGCTAGAGCTCCCAACAATTCAACAATTTCTTAAAAAACTCTCTGAGAACTTCTTTAAAGCCTCAGAGTCGCACCCAAACCAATTAATTCGTGAGGCAGCTTCTTATGCAGCCCCACCCCCCCTCTCGCTATTGAGTCCACAGGCCGAGAAACTCTCTCGCGGACCCGCCTAATAAACTGACAAACGACCTGAACTGTCTCCTGGCGGCTCAGGCCAACTCTAATTAAATTAAATTATTGCATTAACTAACATTAATTTGCCTTCGTAGGCACTCCCTCAGCGGCTCTTAGCCGCCTGCGCCCTCTTTTCCCAAAAGAGGGTCGCTCATGATAAGGCACAATACAGCTTAATCAGCCGGCTGCCTGTCCCCAAAGGCGGTTTTTAGAGGGTATCACTTAGGGTCCCCGGTAGGACAGTGAGTCCCTCATAACCACGATTGACCGGCTATCGTGGTATGCGTAATGCATTTTCCGCCTCCCTACGTATAGGGTAGCCCTTTAATTGCTTCGGGCGCAAAAAAAAAATGCTTAGTGCGATTGCCAAGTCAATCGTTATATTTAAAACATAAAAGATTTTTAACATTGATATTTCTTAAGATTTGTAAGATGAGGTCTTGATAAAGTAAGCAATTTTATTCGTAAGTATTACATTTATAAAGTAATGCTCTATGAAACTATTTTATATTTTTCGTACGAATAACTACTAATCATGTCTATTATATTATATTTTGTGTAGAGATGGGCCGAATATTCGTTTTATATTCGGCAGCTTTACCGAATATTCGTATTCGGCCGAATATTCGACTAAATTACCGAATATTCGTTTAAGGTTGCCCTAGTCGGTGTCAGGGGTCGGCAACCTGCGGCTCGCGTGCCACATGCGGCTCTCTGGATGTGCAGCTGCGGCTCTTTAGTTCCATATGCAAATATTAATTATTTTATACAAAAAAAAAACATTTAAAAATCGTTGTGAATCGATTAACGAGTATTAGGCACCATTTCCATCTCTCAGCCACTTGTACTCGCTTTTCACCGCACCTCTCCCCCGTGACACGGGTTGTCACTGTAGTTAGTCCGTCGGAAGCTATTGAATAACGCCGTCGTCGGATGTTCCTATGTAGGTTTTAATTTGCTTTCGAAGCAAGACAGTTTGGCGTCATCACCAGTGCTTTGGCTGTGACGTATAATTTGTTGTTTCAAGTTGAATAGTGAGAAGCGAATTATATTCTCGAAGGTACGTATGTACATACCTATATAATAATAATAAAAAACCGAAGTAAAGGTAGGTAACATAATAAGTATTATATTTTGAAAATACATCATACATATCTTTTTCCAAATCATTACCTAACTACTTTTTTGATATCAATAAGAATTGTCAAAAAAGGAACAAATTACTAAAGTATGATATTTCCGCGAAAGTGTTTGGTTAAAATATGTATATATTTAGTGAACTACCTATATTTTTATTTACCTATTTTACAGCTCTTATTATTTAAAAATTACTAGATAAAAGTACACTATAAAATAGCTAAAATTTCTTTAAATGTAATTTGCAGGTGGAAGACATTCAACTCGCTTCTGCCTTATTACTTGCTATAGATGAATCTTGCGACATAAAAGACACGGCACAAGCACAAGTTGACTTTTTTGTCAGGTATAAGTCTTCCCAAGGTCCTAAAGAAGAATTTTTAGGATTACTACCGCTCCTGGGGAAAACTAGAGGGGAAGATATAGCGAATGCCGTGCAAAAATGCATCGAAGATAATAAGATCGATTTAAATAAAATCGTTTCGATGGAGGACAACAACGATTCTACAGAGCAAAATAAAGCACGAAATTCATACGTTTCACTGCATAATATACCAAGAAGCGCTTTGTGCCCAAACATTTCCGGCCGAAATAGTTGAGGTCACGATTTTGGTAATCAAGATTGATAAAAACATCTTGTCAAAAGCACTCTACCATCGTCAGTTTAAAGGATTCTTAAATAAAATGGAGAGCCAGTATTCCGACCTCCTTCTTCACAAAGTGCGATAATTTTCCAAATGTAAGGTGTAGAAATGTTTAGCATTATTCTTGAATTAAATAAACACATTCCTCAATGAAAAAGGGATTAACCACCCATATTATAGAATGACAAATGATTGCAAAAATTTTACTTCATAGTGAATATCACGGCGAAATATGCTAATCCAAAACTGCAAGGAAAGGGAAATCCAGCTTATGTTTTGGTGCAAGAATTGGTTTATTTCGAAAAAAATAATTATTTTGGCGGAAGATATTCAGAGTGGTAAATTACTTCATTTTCAATTTCTAAAGCAATATCGCGATAAAACCAGTGCAACTGTTGACACGAATTACTTCAGCACAGTTATAAAAAATTAAAGATGAATTTGCTGACAGATTTCAACAATTCAAAACCAACATAACCACTCTAGCTTTCATAGTAAATTATTTCAATACAAATAGTTACGAAATCCACACTGGGCCATTTGAAGTTGATATTGGATTTCTTCTTTTTTCCGAGCGTGTGCTCGGTATAGCTATCTCACAATTTGCGTACTATGAAGTCATTGCATCACTTTCATTTTGACACTCCCTCAGTGGTCCGTGAGCGTCACCGACAAAGGAATAAGCCTTGCCCCCAAAACTACGATTCACTTTCAAGGCATCCTCATAAGATGTTTAATAGGCCTTCTACACGGTCGGGACCAACCACCAACCGTCGTGACCTTGGTCGGGTTGATGTAAAAATGGACAGTGTAGACATCGGTTGTCCGACCAATATTTTGGTTGAGTCCGACGGCCTTGGTCGCGAGCGCAGCCCTCACGACACGTCGGGTCCGTGGTTGACGCCGACCGTGTGGAACGCTGTCGGCCGACGAGAGCGCCTCAGTGCGCGCTTAGCAGTCGTCGCAGGCGGATGTTTAGCGGCACTATGGATACGAACGGAAGCAAAGAACGTGAGGTCCTGACCGAATTCTTATCACTGTACTGTGATTTACCATGTCTTTGGGATATTGGATCGGAGTTGTATAAGGACAGGAATAAAAAAATGCAATCATGGGAGCTTTTAAAGGACAAGCTTCAAGAAATTGAACCTGAGGCAAACTTGGCTGCAACCAAGAAAAAAATTGAGCATATGCGATCGGCTTTCAATAGAGAGCACAAAAAGGTGATTTTTTATAATACCTACTTTTGTTTAAATAAAGTTTTTTCTTTCTTTTCCTTCAATAGTTTCAAATAAAGAAGTTTATCCCGTTGACATTATATCAATTTTTTTGCTAGTTAATGTCATTCGTTGCCAATTATTCTATACTTTACTTATTATTACTTATACTTATATACTATATTTCACAGACGAATATAGCATTAGTTTTTACTTACATTTTTAATGTAGATAATGATTTTAGTAGATAGACTACTAACATAACCTTTAAACGAAATATATATACACAATTTTCTATTCATCATTAACTGTAATTAAATAATCTTTAAGTCCTTATAATAAAAACAAAAGGGCTGCATGATAACTATCCTAGTCTTAGCCTATCCTTGTCTTGTTAATTATTTAGGTTAAAGAATCAAAACGAACGGGAGCAGGAGCCAATGATGTCCATGTTCCTAACCTGTGGTACTATAATTTGCTGCTGCCTATTTTTGACAAGAAAGATGAACAATCAAGATGCGGGGTAGACACGCTGTCCAGTGATGAAGTGAGTACATAATTTTAATATTTTGAAAAATAGCCTAAACAAATTCTTAAGGTAAATTTTACTTTGACATAATTTGCTCCTAAAATAGATAAAGGCGCTATATTTTCTTTAATAAAAAGAAGAAAAAAGTTAGATTTCGTATAGCGTTTAATTACAAAATCATAAAAACAAATTACAAAACTATCTTACGAAATTACAAACTTCTAATATTCTTATAGTTTTCGTATAATTTCGATTGTCCACTAGATAGGTGATTGATGATTTTTTAGTAAATAGCCCGGAAGTCAATGAATATTTTATTTTAAAATAAAATTGGGTTACATAAATTAAAAAAGTAGGTACCTACTTGTTGGTTGGGTGCTATAAATTATAAATTGGTCTTGACCAAGATTTTTTAAAGCAAAAAAAAAGTAAAATTTATATGTTTCTGGTTAAGCATAAGTAAAGTTTAAATGTTTCTGGTGATGTATAAGGGGGGAGAGCCCCCTTTAATGGTATGTCCCCCCCTCTTCCCCCTACCCCCCTTATAATGGCCCAAATTACTAAAGAAATATCATAAACAATTTTATTCTCTTCTTTCCATAACTATTTCAACCATTTTGTCTTGAAAGCATACTTTGCCAGTTGTATTAAAATAATCCATTAAGGTTTTTCTCACTTCCTGCCCCTCGTTAGTATTCCTTTCACCAGTTCGATGAAGAGGGGTTAGGGTACCCTGTTGTCGCCATTCTCCAGGTCTAAATATTTCATGTTGTAAGTCTTCATAGTCAGCACTTGAAGGGGTCCAATAAATTTTCGACTTTTGTCTCAGAAAGTTGTGTAACGCACAACTGGCTAGAACAATTGCATCCAGGTTTTCAATTTTAACGCTAATAGGTTGCCTAAATACTCTGAAACGTGAAGCAAGAATGCCAAAAGCATTTTCAACAACTCTTCTAGCTCTGCATAGACGATAATTGAATATTCTTTTCTCCTTAGTGATGTTCTTATCGGGGAATTGTTTCATTATATTTGTTTCAAGTGCAAACGCACTATCTCCTAAAAAAACATACGGTACTGTTAAGTTTGTACCTGGCAGTATAAATGATTCTGGCAACTTAAGGTCATCGTTGATAAGTTTTTCATAGAACCTGGTGGCTTTGAGTATTCCTCCATCTGACATACTTCCATTTGAACCCGTATGAACATAAATGAATTCGTAGTTTGCATTGACAATTGCAAACAACACCACACTAAATGTACCCTTGTAGTTGTAGAACAATGATCCCGTTCCAGATGGTTTTTCAATTAAAATATGCTTGCCATCCATGCAACCTACACAGTTGTGAAATTGCCATTGTTCTTGAAAAGATTTCGCAGCCATATCCCATTCATATTTCGATGAGGGTAACTGAAACAAATATATTTTTTTTTCAGGAATCCAGACCATCAGAACATGAGAAGGGCAGAAAAAAGTTAAATATCTTGGAAATTAAAAAAAGGAAATTAATAGATACTGCACAAGAATTATTGCAAAGCGATAATAGAAAAGAAAATCAGAAGGAAATAAACTCATTTGGCTTGTACGTAGGAGAACAACTAGATCAGGTTGAAACATTTCAACGCCAAGTGGCTGAGAAACTAATTTCTGATGTCCTTTTTCTTGCAAAAACAGGGAACCTTAATTTTGATTCAAGAATCGAAACAAAAAGATCTCGAAATTTCCCTATTTTTCAGATGTCATCATCACCACAATATACCCGACTATCACCATCCCCAAATTACATTCAGTCATCATCATCTCCATATCACATTCAGGCATTAACAACACCACAACAAAGCCACCCACCACCATCCCCAAATTACATTCAGTCATCATCATCTCCATATCACATTCAGTCATTAACATCACCACAACAAAGCCACCCATCACCATCCCAAATTACATTCAGTCATTACCATCTCCATATGATTGCATTAACATCCACACAAAGCCACCATCACCATCCCCAAATTACATCCAGTCATCACCATCTCCATATTACATCCAGCCATCACCATCACCATATCCCACCCAACCATCACCACATCCCACACAACCATCACCATCACCACATCCCACCAAACCATCATCATCACCACATCCTACAAAACCATCACCATCACCACATCCCACCAAAACATCACCATCGCACCCTACCATACCATCACATACGAATAGAATAATATACGAAGGACCGGCTAGTGCAATAAGTGAATTTGTAATTTTTAAAAAGGATAAATAAATGTCATTGTACACTACCTTGATTGTTTTCTTCAAAGCCTTGTATATCGCCCAACAAGTTTCTGGTATAATTTTTGAAAGCAATTGAAATGATGTAACTGTACTAAATCTCAGATCTTTATAACTTCTTCCCGTAGCCAAAAATCTTAATGTAGCTATTAATCGTTCTTCAGCAGACACGGCTTGACGCATAACTGTATTTTTTTTTTGTAATCATTGGACGCACCATCTCAAGTAATTCATTAAAAGTATCTCGATCCATTCTTAGAAAATTCCGAAAGTCTTCAGAATCAAGAATCCTTAAAATATTGAGATGGTTTAAAGTAATGCGCTCTTTCAGCCACAATTTCATCCATTTTCTTTTTTTCTTTTTTTTTCATCTTCACTCAAGCACAAAAACGTTAAAGCTAAACCGATTTTTTGTTGTTTAGAAAAGCAAGAAGCCATTTTTAAAAGTACGTCCTTACGTCTTTACTCTTTAAATACTAGAGACAACTGACAAGTTGAGTCAACCACCCGACCGTGTAGAACGAATACAAAAATCGGTTGACCCGACCAAGGTCACGACGGTTGGTGGTTGGTCCCGACCGTGTAGAAGGCCTATAAAGCGCTTTTACACGGTCGGGACCAACCACCAACCGTCGTGACCTTGGTCGGGTCAACCGATTTTTGTATTCGTTCTACACGGTCGGGTGGTTGACTCAACTTGTCAGTTGTCTCTGGTATTTAAAGAGTAAAGACGTAATGTAGATACTTTTAAAAATGGTTCCTTGCTTTTCTATACAACAAAAAATTGGTTTAGCTTTAACGTTTCTATGCTTGAATGAAGATGAAAAAAAAGAAAAAAAAAATGGATAAAATTGTGGCTGAAAGAGCGCATTACTTTAAACAAACATGACATGGTACTTTAAAACATGGTAAATCACAGTACAGTGACAAGGATTCGGTCAGGACCTCACGTTCTTTGCTTCCGTTCGTATCGATAGTGCCGTTAAACATCCGCCTGCGGCGACTGCTAAGCGCGCACCAGCGCGCACTGAGGCGCTCTCGTCGGCCGACAGCGTTCCACACGGTCGGCGTCAACCACGGACCCGACGTGTCGTGAAGGATGCGCTCGCGACCCAGGCCGTCGGACTCAACCAAAATATTGGTCAGACAACCGATGTCTACACTGTCCATTTTTACATCAACTCGACCAAGGTCACGACGGTTGGTGGTTGGTCCCGACCGTGTAGAAGGCCTATTACTTACGTTGACGTTGTAGGTATAATAATAGCTACATACCTTAAGCTAATCATAAGCTTAATAAAAATAGGCATGTTTCAATTTAACAGGTATATAGACGGACTTGTCTATCGGAACGTCCAATAGACAAATTAGACGAAAAATTAATTTTTTTTAATTAAAAATAGCCTTGCCAAAACATAGGCTGTCAATCACCCTTATTTATATATATTTTTTATAGAAAAAATATTTCATTAATGAAAATAATGTATGATTTTTTTAAGCCAAAGCCTCTACTAAAAGAAACAAAGAAAAGGGTATTATTGAGTCAACGTCAATTTGCGCGGAGTGACGTGTTGTAGAAAAAACTGTTGTAGAAAACGATTCAAACAATATACCGCTGCATTATTTGAGACGCATTTGCTCCACCATTACAAATGAATAACGAGAAAAGGACTGAAGAACTGAGTTATTTCTAAAATGTCGAAATGGACTTCATGAAAGAAGAGATTTACATTACTGTCAACCACTCCAGTGGTTTATTGCCAATCTAATATGAATGTAAAGAATAATGGGTAAGGATCCTAGATTTCAGCGTAAAGATTATCTTTTTTATGCTCTGTCTAAAATGGAGTTATTTAAGACACAGCAAAATGTTAAAGTTGATTGAGAATGCAACAAGGAAACAACGGATATGAAGGTCTAGTAGAAAATCCAATGCCTACTGGCAACGTGCCTGTAGTGACCTTGCAATAGTAGGAAACCTTGGGCTTCCAACATGGTTTGTTATTTAGCTGTAACCACCTTAACTGGTCAGACATTCTTAATGCTCTTTTGATTTTTCCTTTTGAATTTGTCCTTAGATAAGTTCTCATCGAAGAACGTGGACGTATGTACGTAGTTTTACCACGTAAACGTAGAACATTTACGTAGTAGAGCCACGCTGCAGTTACATTGTAGTTATAGCACGAATGGGTCGGCTCGACAGGGACAGTACCACGCTCTCACACAATACCAGTGTTAAATAGCAGCGTAATGCTGTGTTTCGTATGGTGAGTGTAGAGAACCGGAGACGATTTTACTGGAATCAAGGCATTCCATCTTAGTCCTCAGAGGTGACAACGCATTTGCATTTTGATTCTTAATTGAGGATAAATGTATATGTCTATGGGCCACAGCACCCAATGCTATAAAAAAAGATCATCTTGCTACTCTGTCCCGGCATGCCATGGTGCGAGTGAACGCATTAATTAGACAACTAAAGTCTTATGATGAAATTCTTGGTGGAAGGTTTTTGGTTTTTGGCATCGAATTGAATACCAAAATCGATGTACCTAGTCCTTATTTACACATGCTTTCCTGGATTCAGAATGCTCCTTTATTTGATACAATATAGAGGCTAGGTTTAATAAATAAAATTGTACCATGTTCCTTAGATACGGGTAATACGGAACTAGACGACTTGGTAAAGCGTGTTCAAATTCACCACTATTCTGAGACCTGCTACAAGAGTCGTCAAAACCAGACGCTGTCGCTTCAGTTTCCCACGCATTGTGAATGTGATGAAACTGTAATTCTCCGCCCTGATGCTCTAATGACATTTAAGTGAGGTTAACGTGAACAATTACAATCCTCAGTTATTGACGTTATTGACAGGGAATATGTATATTCAGCCATGTGGTAATTAGACAGCAGTTACATTCTATATCGCAAAATATGCTGCCAAGCATAAAACCCAAGATGTTGGCCAAGCAGTACGTGAACCTGTAAGCCGCGTTTCGGCAGCATCACGGAGACATTGTCAACGTCAACTTTTTGCAGTGCCAATGACCATACTTAATCATAGACGAGTAGCGTATACGTCATTTAAAACTGCGAGACAGACAAGAAAAATTCTGTTTCTAAGGGTATGTTCTGAAATACAACCCAGTACACTGGCCAATGTAAATGACGTCATAAATCTACGCCATTCTGGTGATTCGTTGTGTGGAATATGGTGGAATATTCCGTCAATTAATGACGTCATTTGCATTCGCCAGTATACTGGAAACATTTCGGAACATACCCTAAATATTAGCCGAAAAGAGCAACGCGAGGAATTTCATCAACAATTTACGAGTGGGAGAACTGAGCATGGAATAGTATTAACTACTTCTAGAGAGAACTCGTGTTCCCCTAGAGGGATAATTTGCCGATGGTGAAGCTGTTCGGATATATTACCTTACAACTTGTGAACGCCTATCAGAGAATGTTAACCAAAATTGTACGCAATAAATTCACAGGTCTAGTAACCCAACAACTATGGACAGAAACCTCCACCTGCTGCTTTTCCAGTAAACTCAACACAAGACGCCTAGTATCACAAAATAAAGTTGGGTATGGGTATGGTACACAAGTGATGTTAAAAGGATGAACATCAAGATCAACGAATGATTAGTATATGGATTAGGTCATGCAGCATGTAAGTTGTTCGTGGTTTTCAGTGGGAAGGGTTAAGAAGAGACCAGTTGGAAGATGGAGAGTTGCCCAAAAGTCCTCATCTAATTTAATGGCCGCTTTATCGACAAAAGTTACCATGATGGAAATGGTTGGGTAGCACTGACCTCTATATATACAAGTATGGGTAGGCACAGTTTCAATGAGTGTATCCTTTCAAGGCAACAAAGGTGCTGGCAAAATAGAAAGGCTAATGACTCCACTCATATTAAGTTGGGTTGTTACAGTGCATATTGCAAGGCACTACAGTCGATAAGGCTGTCATATATCTTGGACCCAAAACATTTGCTAAAGGGTAAGCTTATGTGGCTCTTAGTAGAACTCTTCAATAATCCACATAATAGCATAGCGTTGGAAGAGTTAGAGCGATTGATAAGCATGTTGCGCGGGCCACAAATCGATAATTATATAAAAATAATTATACAAAAGAAAATATATATAAAAGTCTTTGATCTAGATCTATTGTTATGGCATTAACATAGTGATTGATTACTCTAAGAATCCAAATATGTTAGAAGATATCAATAACCGCATTTAAATTGGTTGAGCCATCTCGAGGAAAAATTCGCTACAGTTCATTTAAACGTGTGAAAAATGTTTATTGCCGCGCCCCCTAGCGAATTAACATAACACCTATCTAAGAACCATCGTCGATGAGTCACAAACCCATTACAGAAAACCGTATCTAAATCGGTCCAATCGGTTTTGGAGATAAATGGGAACCTCGCTTTTGCTATACAACTCGGCATTTTGGCAATGCAATGCGACGTCAGCTCGCATTTGAAATCAAAACAACATTGGGCTCGCGTTGGTGCTCCATAAACATTTTCGCACCAAGGAGTCGGTGCCATTATGTTTGTTCAATGACGTGGTCCATACGCAGTAGTATAAAAAAACTATGATTCTTACTAACTTTATTTGCTTTGAACATGTAGGGGCTTTCACAGAATGGCAGGCAAATTCTATTGTATGGTGTGGACAAGAACCAGAATATTTTAATGATAACAAGGCATTTTATGTAGTCCTCTAGGTTGACAAATGTGCATTTTGATCAATAATATGATGCCTCTATGTTAGACTTTATGCTCATTTCACCCATGAATACTAAAAGACAAACATCCTCACCATGCTACCATAGTTTTGCCATAATCTAATCTAAAATGATCTGACTGAAAATTACAAGTAAAAAGCAACTTTATAGAACTATGGCGATTTTATCATCAATTGCAGATGCATTGTCGCCGTGTTAATGTTAAAACTACTGAGAACGTAAATAAAACATAAGATCATACATATAGCTATGTACATAACAGAGTAGGCAGGTGCACAAATAAAATCCAAATTAATATTATAAACACTATTAGAAATGGTTTTTAAAAAAAACTTTAATATACAATCCCAGTAATAAAACACTGCAACTTAACATTTTCATCAGTCTGTAGGCACAATATCACCAATCGTTTATGCACTATACTACAAATTATCCGGTTGTGTGATATTTGGTCTGCACTTAGGAACATGGATAGCTTTTTCGCGTCCACTCGACATACGCAGACTCGCGATAGATCTTCATTAATTTGACTCTCCGTTTCAGAGTCTGAATGTTCTATTGGACCTGTAACATACGCTTTGATTAGTTGTTTATTTACCTTAGGAATCAAAGTCGAGAGCAAATGCTAAGTCAACATTATCATCATCATTACAGCCCTTCACAAGTCCACTGCTGAACATAGGCCTCCCCCAAGTAATGCCACAAAGCACGGTCCTGAGCCACCTGCATCCATCGACTTCCTGCATGTCTTACCAGATCGTCACTCCATTTAGTGGGGGGTCGCCCTAAACTTCGCCTACCGGTACGAGGCTGCCACTCGAGAACCTTTTTTCCCTAACGGTTGTCGGTTCTTCGAGCTATATGGCCGGCCCATTGCCACTTCAGCTAATCCGTCGGGCTACGTCGGTCACTCTGGTTCTACTGCGGATATCCTCATTTCTGAGTCTATCACGCAGAGAAACCCCGAGCTTAGCCCTCTCCATAGCTCGCTGAGCGACTTGAGCGTCCTCATACGGCCAGCAGTGAAGGATCACGTCTCGGTTCCGTAGGTCATCACTGGCAACACGCACTGGTTGTACAACTTAGTTTTTAGGTTTTGAGGTATACCTGACGAGATGTGTCGTTATCCGAACGCTGCCCAGCCGAGTTGAATCCGTCGATTGACCTCTCGGTCGAAGTTGGACTTACCTAGTCGGACTATTTGTCCCAGGTAAACGTAGTCGTGGTGGTGTAGTGGCGGTTGAGAATATCCACTACCCCATATCTTCCCGTGGGTGTCGTAAGAGGCGACAGAGGGAGACAGACAGGAGATGGGCAGCAGCAACGTCCTAATAACATCAATAATATAATAAAAAACTGCGGTTGCCAACCCGCTCGCCAAGCGTGGCAACTATGGCAAATATCCCCCTATGAGTAACGACGCGAACAAATGGCCCCCAGTCCCCGGCGGCTCCGCTATTCCCTGGTAACGGCTGAGCAGGGGTAAGAATTTCCGGTGATAGTTCGGTTGCCACCTACGACGACTCGACCTGGCAACTTATAACGCACGCACCCTGAGGACTAACGAGAAGATACTGGAGCTGGAAGAAGAGGTAGAGAAGTTGCGCTGGCATATTATTGGATTATCCGAGGTCCGAAGAGAGGGGGAAAACACGGTAATCCTCGAGTCCAGCAACTTGTGCTATCACCGGGAGGGCGACCATCTGTCCCAAGTCGTCGTCGGTCGTCAGTCGTAAGTGCTACACGTTTTTGTAATGAGTAAATCGGATTATTTAAAAGTACCGACAATGTCCAAATTTGATATTTGTAAAAAATCATTTACAAAATCTCTTCCCGGATTGGAGTGTAGTAAGTGTGAAAAAATTGTGCATCTTAACACGAAATGCAGTGGCCTGACAAACAAACAAATCGCAGCACTGAAAGCGGCCTCCAGCTTGGAGTGGACTTGCCTTGATTGCCAACAGGAATCACCGAGACAGAACTCATCTATTGTAATCCCGGAAGAAGACGATGAAGAAGATAATAAACGCGTCTTAATAAACTCCAAAAACTTGCTGAGTTCAATAAGTAGGGAAGTTGAAAAAGCAATAAAAAATTAAATGCGGGAACTGAACGAGTCCCTACAGTTTCATAGTGCTAAGCTAGAAGAAGTGGTCGAGTGTATAGATGCATTTAAACAAACCATCAAAGTTCTATAACGAAAAAATATAGAGCTTACTAATAAGAACAACAATTATATAAGGAAACGCGGGTAGGTGCCCTTGAACAGCAACTACAAGAAATAGAGCAAGAAAAACTTATAAACTGCATAGAAATATTAAATATTCCCTACCAGCCCACAGAAAATGTCAAAAAACGGGTGGAAAGCATCTCTCTGAAACTCCGACAGCCCCTCGAGGGAATAAAAAGTATTCGAAGACTTCCTGGAAAAAAGACCATCCGGCGAATATAAAGGTAGAATTGCAAGACGAGCTTTCACAAGAGAAATGGATCTCAGCAGCAAAATCCACTAAGACTACCGTAGCAGATATATATCCTACAGAAATGAACAGCAATAGTGTCGTGTACATCAGAGAAGCAATGATAAAAAATATTAGAATTATATTGTGGCAGGCGAAGCAGCAGTTAAAAAACAATCAGAATTATAAGTACGTATGGTTTAAAAAGGGATATGTTAAGACACGTAAGGATGACGGATGAAAAATTTACACATTGAAAACCCTGCATGACCTAAATGTTCTAACCAAGCTTTCTTAATTGTGTACCTATCTATATACCATATATCCATATACCTTTAAATTTCAGTCCGACATAATATATATACCTAGCCGTAAGGTCTAAACTCATTTTATAACTCGAATTATGTTAGATGAAATCTGTGAGATATCTGACTGTCTAAATATAAGTCAATTTCTAAACGATATTCCTAATCACCGTGTTAATTTATTGTGCGTTCATTTTAATATCAGATCCCTAACAAAAAATTTCACAGCACTTGAACAATATATACTAACGTCAAATAAACCTACTGATATCGTAATTCTAACTGAAGTTAATGTAATGGAAACAAACAGCAAGTATTGCTGTTTGTTTCATATCAATGGCTATCAAATGTTTACTGCGTTAAGAAAAACTAGAAGAGGTGGCGGTATAATTATTTACGTCAGTAATAAACACAAATTCAACATAAAAACTATCAAAACAATACACTTCGAAAACATATTACTTACAATCACCACTAACTCAAATTACATTACGAATATATGTGAATAATCTAATCGACGAATACTATTGTGACACAGATTTATACTTACTAGGCGATGCAAACATTAACCTGAAATTAGACAATCCTGCAAAACATAAATACAACACGTTACACAGCTTAGGTCTTTTGTGCGGGATAACAGCACATACAAGGATCGAACTAAATAATGGAAAGCTAAGTAAAACCTGCATAGATCACATTTACGCACGATCCCGTACACAAGACCTATACACAGCGGCAATCGGTACGACGATAGCCTGCGTCGGACCACGAACACAGGATGTTCCAACATATAAAATATGTTTAAATAATAATAAATTGAATTCACTGTTAGAACAGATTGGACGCCCACTTACGCCATGACCTGCCCTCTAAATATTTACAACTATATTTATACAAAATTTACAGAATGCTATAAAAAAATCAGAATATTCAATGAAAATTAGTACTAAAATTACGCGAAGTAATAACTACTGGATAAATAATAAAATCATCAAAGCCTGTGAGTATAGGGATAATTTATTTTTTCAATGGATAAAAAATACAAATAATATGATTCTAAAACTAAAATACAATAAAGCTAGAAACAATGCCAATGTATTGATTCAAAAAACTAAAAACAAAAACACTAAGTCAGAAATAATATCCAACAAAAGCAATACTAAAAATTTGTGGTCTAAAACATATTAACAGGTAGAATAAAATCGTCTATAGATGAAGGCTTAGAACGCTTTTTTGGCAGCAATAACAACTTATCGAAAGACATTGCAAATAAATTCGCTGTCACATTCAATAATAGTGTCAAACAAATAATATCAAAATGTCAAGAACCATTGCTCGACAAATAAACCTATGCAGTATCAGCAAACGTAAGTATGAGATTTAGGTCTGCAGAACCCAAATCAATAACAAAAATACTAAAATCTCTTAATAGTAACAAAGCTCCCGGAATAGATAGGATAACAGCTATCGATATAAAAAAGATATGTGACAAAATTTCATTAACCATTGCTAAACTAATAAACGCATGCATTCTCACTGGCAAATACCCAAATCATAAAAACATAAAAAACCCAATTCATAAAAAAGGTAGCCAGGCGGACTACCGCAACTATAGACCAATAACCATATTGCCTACGATCAATAAAGTAGTAGAAAAATATATAGGAACTCAAATACAACACTTTTATGCCAATAACAGTATACTAACTTGCAACCAATATGGATTTCAACCACATAAAAGTACGACACAACTGCTATCCACTTTCACTGACAGCATTTATAACCATTTAGATAAAAAAGAGCATATATTGGTAGCTTTTGTTGACTATAGCAGGGCATTTGATACTCTCAGACACGAGAAGCTTCTACAAAGCTTGAACGACAGTGGGGTCAGAGGTAATCTATTAACTTGGTGCGAAAACTACTTACATGATAGAAGCTATCAAGTTAGGGTCAGTAATGCAGATAGTTTCTCAGTTTTAGCAACAGAAGGTACTGCCCAAGGCTCCGCCTTAGGACCCTTGCACTACATAACCTACGTAAATAATCTCTCAAACGCAATAAAACAGTGTGAGCTGTACCAGTTTGCGGACGACACATGCTTAGTTGCCACAGGAAGAGACATCGAAGATGCCCTTACTCGACATCAAAGCGATTTTGACATATTAGTGAAATGGTCTCATGATGTTGGACTTGTACTTAATTCAAACAAAACCAAACTAATTTACATCAGCTGTAGTAAAAACAGAAGCACTTTTAGATTAAAACTTATAGCACACAACCATCAATGTCTACATCTAAAACAATCAAATAATACTCTGCAATGTACCTGTGATGCTATAGAATAAGTAAGTAAATATACATACCTTGGACTCGTAATCGACGATCGGCTAAACTGGAAGGAGCATATTAACCATGTGAGCGACAAACTAAGGGTAATATTAGCCAAATTCTCAATTATTAAACCTAAAATTCCTTATAAAACACTTCTACTACTCTATAAGTCCCTGGTTGAGTCTATAATATCCTATGGGTTGTCCAGTTATGGAAGAACCTCTAAAACAAACCTAGACAATATTTTAATAAGAGAAGAGTGTGGTTTGCAAGATGATGTTGTGACCAGGATTAAGAAATGAATGCTTCGGTGGTTTGGTCATGTGGAAAGAATGAATGAGGAAAGAGTGACAAAGAAAATTTATGGTGCAGAAGTGAATGGCAGAGTCGGAAAGGGACGTCCTAGGCGAAAATTTATCGACCAAATTGGCGATTTATTGAAAACGGGCCAAATTAGGAGTACCCTTAACCGACGAGCATGTATGCGTAGGTGTATGGATGTGAAGGAGGCAAGAGAGGTGTGTCAGGATCGTGCCAAATGAAAGTCTGTAGTCTCTGCCTACCCCTCTGGGTGACAGGCGTGAGTGTTTATGTATGTGTACAATATTTTTTCACTCCAGCTACGTATACTAAAAAGAATAGTTCCTATAAAAATAAAAAACACCTTTAAAGATTACCGTAAGCTCTTTGCATTATATTACCAATTCATGAAAAAGTAGAACTAACTCTTTTATCACAATATTATTTTACTGAAAATCTACAAAAACCACACAAAAATTATTCAATCCGTAGGCAAGATAACATCAGACTACAACTACCTTCTTATAATAACCTGTATGGTAAAAGACGATTAAATTACATAATACCTTACCTAATTAACCTTATACGTAATAACATATAAAAATCTAAAAACATCTTGAAACAATATTTTCTACAAATAATAAACAAAAAATACACATAACATACATTTTAAATGTTAAACTTTACTTACACAATAATATACATTAACTTATACATTAGAATAATTATATCTATCTACATAATAGCAATTAATAAATTCAAGTAAGCATATACATAATACAAACACTAAATATTAATATATAGAATATGATAACAAATTTATCCACATACAAAACATATACATAAAATACATATACATAATAAATATAAACAAACAACACTATATAATAATAATCACAAACCACACTTTATACCATACCTGTTATAAAGGTTTTGCTAAAAAACATCCTGTAGAATAAAAGTAGCAAAAAATGAAGACAGTAATAATAATAATAATCTTTACTTATCTCTACAATTGCAGTTTATAACATCATTACATCTAATTTTTTTTTAAGTAACTTACAAATGCTAGTTGTAGAGACTGGTGACAATACTAGGATTCCCTGTGCTGCATAGGAACGTCCACAAAAGGTTTTTACATAACCTTATCTTGTGATATACCCTCATTGTGTTTACAAAATGTGTAGCTGTCTTGTGATTGTTATTTAGTGGAACAGAATATAATACTAATAAATAAATAACAAATAATAAATACAAGTGGAACAGAAGTGCGGTGGTCTTGTTCTTCAAGAAAGGTGACAACGCCCTCGTCAAGAACTACAGACAGATATCCCTTCTGAGCCGCATCTACGTGCTGTTTTCGAGAGTCATTACGAACTGTATCGCACGCAGACTCGACGACTTCCAGCCTCCCGAACAAGCCAGTTTCCGAAAGAGCTTTAGCACACACCTACCCTTCACACATACATACCCTTCGGCAAATTGTACAGAAGTCCGAAGAGTACAATATGCCACTTTGCCTGGCGTATGTGGACTATGAGAAAGCCTTTGATTCAGTCGAAATTTGGGCGGTGCTACAGTCTCTTCAGCGGTGCCAAGTTGACTGTCGGTATATCGAATTGATGAAGTGTTTGTACAGTAGGGCTACGATGACTATCCGAGTACAGAACCAGAGTGCGAAATCTATCCAGCTGCAGAGAGGTGTAAGACAGGGTGACGTTATTTCCCCGAAATTCTTCACCGCTGCATTGGAAGATGTTTTCAAACTACTGGACTGGAAAGGATACGGCATTAACATCAATGGCGAGTACATCACTCACCTTCGATTTGCCGACGATATGTTATGGCAGAATCGCTGGAGGACTTAAGCACTATGCTCAATGACCTCAATGGTGTCTCCCAACGGATAGGTCTTAAGATGAACATGGAGAAAACAAAGATCTTGTTTAATGTCCATGTCACATCTATGCCCGTAGTTGTTGGAAGCACTAAGCTCGAAGTTGTTGACGAATAAGTTTACCTGGGACAAATGCTAATTAACTTAATTTAAAGATAATGTTTCAGCACAAATTTAAGTTTTAATCAAGTTGTCTGACAATTAGTAATACTAAACTAATGTAGTAATATATACAATATAAATAAATAATATTATAATAAATTGAAATGTCTGTCAACTGCAACATATAACCAACCGGCTTCTATTAAGCTTAGTTAGGGCCGATCCCCATTCGCCGTTCACAGTTCGTTCTCGGTCCGATCCCGGTCTTATTTATTATATTATTGGAATGTTATTCGAGCGAAACTTGACTGTTACGGATAGTATGAATGCCACACACACATATATATTTTTTACTTGATAATATTTTATCAGACCGAGATCGGACCGAGAACGAACTGTAAACGGCATTATAATGAGGATCGGACCTAAAGCTTCTATTTAAAAAAATATTGTTTTTCTTTTTGTCGTTCTAAGTTAATCTTGGGAATGGCTGAGGTAATTGTGATGAAATTTTATAAACAAATAGAGAGCAATGTCCGGAGGTATCTAGGCTATATTTCATCAGAATATTTTTTAAACAAAAACTTCATAAAATAAATGTTCTTTCATTATCTTAAATCTAAATAATCACATTAATAGATCACATCCAAGCGAAGCCAGGGCGGCTCGCTAATATGTAATCAATACTATAGTTATAAATACTAAATATCATATTTTTATAGTTTAAGGGTTACAAACGAGCACACAGTCCACCTGATGGTAAGTTGATGCTGTGGCCCATGGACATCTACATTTAACCTCAATTAAGAATAAAAATGCAGATGCGTTGTCACCCTGAGGACTAAGATGGAATGCCACAATTCCAGTAAAACGGATCTCCGGTTCTCTACATTCACCACACAAAATACAGCGGCATTAAGCTGCTATTTTACGCTGGTGTTCTGTGAGAGTGTGGTCCTGCTCGGATCGAGCCGACCCATTCATGCTACAACCATAATATCATGTCCAGAAACAGACAATTTTTTTAAATGGTTGTTTATCTGTTAATAGTACACAAATAACTCAAAGAGCTTAATAAAAGCAAGTGATTTTAATATTAGAGACAGGCACTTCAGTTTTATTTAATGTACGTATATAAATTACTACATTTAATATATGTGACATAATAGTGGTTGAATGTTAATATTTTATTTATAACTGGGTTGGCAAAACCAAGAAATCCAGCAAAATTCTTGTTTTTAATAAAAGTTTGTTTATTTTAAAAAAATCATTTTCTTTACTGGTAAGTTCAATAAAAATTGAAAAAAATTACCAAACCATTTGTGCTAGTGTCATTTTATAATTAAAGATAAAGTATGGCTCTATTACATATAATATAAAGCTTAGTAGCAATCGCCTCATTTCTAATGTTTATTTTTATTAATTTATACCTCAACCCTTTCACCGCCATCGCCACTCACGTAATATTCTGAAATGCTCATGTTACTAGAAAAACTGCAAAGTTAATTCGATTTTGCTATTCAATTTAATATATTTACTTAATTTTGTATAGTTGTAGATACCTATTTCAAAAAAATAACAGAAATATATAGTGTTGCTAAGTGCAAGATGAAACTAAACACCTTGCTGCCTCGCCATCCCCGTGATATTTCCGAGGCCAATGATGAGCCACTGTAAAAGATTTAACAAATTTATATTTGTATTGTTTCGAAATTAAAATGATAGTCAAATAATTATAATGTAATTTTTTAATGAACTGAACTAAACATTCAAAAAAATTTAATTTAATTTATTATTTAAATGATTTTTGCGATAAGAAATAAGTGTATGAAAAATATTAATTTATAAACCCCGAAACGTCACTAGTGCATTCGAGTTGAGAATGCCAGCACCGTGATTTCCCGTGCGGATCAATGTCAAGCACAGTGTCAGTGTTAAATTGTCAATTAATGTGGCGCCATCACCGTGATAATACGCGTGTACTATATTTAATATTTATTAGCATTTGTAGTGCTGGAAACTATCGATAATGTTAGACGAAGAAGAACTTAAATATTTTGGAATCGCGTAGGTAAGTAAATATTCATGTAAAATAGTCAGGTATTTGAGAAACATATGATTTATATTTGCTTATCTTACCATGAAGAATCTTCTAGTATATTGAATAGAACCTCGTTTACGCCTGAATTTGATGAATTCAATGAATTTATCGCAGGAACTAAAACACAGAATATGAATATTCAATCAAACGAGTTGGATTGTTTCTTATATTTTCTAGGCGAAGACATTGTGTGCAAAATAGTGGAATTTACTAATACCCAACACCAACATTTTATTCGTCAATTGCGATATAAGACTTCATTCAAGGTTGTACAAAATTGGCGGAATATCGATTGATGAAATGTACGTATTCCTGGCAGTGATAATTTTATTTACTCGAAACAAACTCCTTACAATAGAAGAAACACTTGTATACAGATCCGTTATTACAATCACCAATATTTCCAGAAGATTGTTATGTTGATTAAAATAAATAATAATCTATAATTTTTAAAACTTTGTTTTATTTATCGATAAACGGTTGTTCCAACACTATGCAAAATATTAAATAAAAGTTCCTGGCGCTGGAGACACTCCACGTCAACTAAAGCGCGGCGGTGAAAGGGTTAATATTATAACTTTCCCTTTGAATATAAATGTGTGGTAGTACATACCAATAGAGGTACCCTTAAAACTTGTATGAAGTAACAATCAGTAGGTTAAAGGCTCGTATAAAAATGGTGATACACATGAAGGTGGATATTTTAGTCTTACATCCATTGCCAATACTTAAGTAAAAAAACAGTTTACATAATTTTAAACATACCTTCAAAGTTGTCAACTCTCAATCCTTTATATCTAGTAGAAACTTTAGCCATATCAGTTTTGATCTGCAACGTAAGCCTACCCTCAGCTGAGGCTCGTATTATCACATCTGTAGCCATTGTTCTCATACGGTCTATTGATGTTCTGAGCTGTTTCAACGGTGGCAGCTCTATTGAAATCTGAAAAAATATATAATGAAAAATAACAATAACGAGCAGCAGCTTGTAGCAATAATTTTTAGTTCTCTTCCCTTATTTTCCCATAATTTGTGTATATTCTGGGGCTCTACTTCGGATACATCTTTATTATGGATGCAGAGAGGAGTTTCATAAATGTTACATTACATTACAAAATAAAATACTCCCAAAGGCCTCACCATGTTAGATCCACGTTCCACATAAAGCTTATTAAATGCCCGGGCTCAGTTGGACTCAAGCCAAAGTAATGAAAAAACATGATGATGATAATAATAATTTCTATAACATATACATTTTTAATAATAAAAATTATATACATTTTTTTAGAAATCTTAACCAGATGAAAAAACAACAAAAATTGCCCACAAAATAAAATGTAAGTATAAATATACATACATCGGGCTTTGGTACTTGAGGCTCATGAAAATCTGACCAAATTTTTCTAGGCACTACAATCGCTGGTATATCATGTGTGACTTGTCTTGTTTGTGGAGATGTTGAAGAAGGCTGAAAATAAATAATTTGACAATCACCATATTTTTAAAGTTTATAATAAAAATATTAAGAACAAATTTAAAAAATATGCTTTTAAAAAAAGAAAAAAAATAAAGAGAGAAAAGAATAGAAATATAAATTAATGAAAGATTATTTACCATTTCAATTTCTAACGTTAGGCATGGACATTGTTTCTTTGTTAACTTCATCTTCAATGTTTTCGCTGATTTCAGTGTTACCAGTGGTCTGGCTAAATTGGCTTAAAAATAAAATTCCCACTTTAATGCAACTAATTAATCAACTATTGATTTAAATAGAATATATTATAACTTTAAAAATATAACTTCTAATTCAACTTTCATTTCATGCACCAAAAATGGATTTTTTAAACTGACAGTGGCTAAGATGCATTGTCTTTGTAGAAGCCACAGGAAAAAATTGGAAAGATTGGATGACCATGTATACATACATAAACACTCACGCCTGTCACCCAGAGGGGTAGGCAGAGACTACAGACTTCTCTCGCCTCCTTCACATCCATATATCTATGCATACATGCTCATCGGTTAAGGGTACTCTTGATTTCGCCCATTTTTAATATATCGCCAATTTGGTCGACAAACTTTCGCCTAGGAAGTCCCTTTCCGACTCTTCCATTCACTTTTCAACATATATTTGCTTTGTCAGTCTTTCCTCATTCATTATTTCTACATGATCAAACCACTGAACCATTCCTTTCTTAATCCTGATCACCGCATCATCTTGTATACCACACTCTTTGATCATGTATACAATGCATCCAAAATTACTGATGATGGCTGTACTGGTGCAGCTGTCTAGATTCCCAGGTTTAAAATAATCCATAGCTTTAAGAGTCCTTTATTAGTTTCCATTTTTACTGCTTAGGCAATTGCAATCCACGAAGTTCTGCTATATGTTGAAGCACATAGCCTAGACATTTAAGAGTTGTTTATCTGCTATTTTATCTAACCAACTTTCCAAAGTAAATATAAATTTCTCTTAATTCTTAATGTAACAAGTGGTAAAATTAAAAAAAATTATGCAACCGACTTCAATATAAATAAAATAAATTATGGTTATTTTAAAAACTGCTTCACTAATTTTGATAAATGTAAATGGGACCACCAAATTAAAAAAGGAGTGAAACATAACATAAAACATTACATTAACACTCACGCCTGTCACCCAGAGGGCAGATACTACAGACTTCCATTTGGCATGATTCTGAGAAAACTCTCTTGTTTCCTCCACATTCATATACCTACTTCATTTCATACACATATTTATATTATTCATATACATACATTTTCGTCAGTTAAGGGTACTTTTTTCTAAATTCTTTTACCCTTAGGAATATTTGTAGTTTATTTTATTCATTTCTAATTTAATTGATATAAAACATAATCAAAATTTCAAAAATAACTATTTTCCCCTACACTTTTCTAAGGAATTACTTTTCCTCGATATGAAATCTGTCAAATATTTCACCTCATTCCAATGTGACGCCGCCCTGGTAGCAGAGTAAGTCGTGGACACCAAATACTCAAACGATACTCAATTTTAAAATGAGTATCCTTTGAAACAAAGAATAATTTTCTGACTCGGTTCAGGCGCCTTCGAAAAATCGGTACCTCCTGTTTTTTTTAAGTTGGTTGAAAAGCATTGTGTATAGGTGTCATCTTAAAGAGATTTGTCTGTTTGGCCTAGATACCTAGTCATAGTGGTATCTGTGAAAATGAAAAGGCAGATTTGTGTGGCATAAAGGCACAAGAAATGGCACCCCACTAAATATTACCTATTCCCATGACTTACTTTCATTTGCTAGGAAAAAGCTTGTTAACACATGGAATTAGATATGGAAAACAATACAAATATTAAAAGGCAAGCACTATGCTGCTATACAAGATAATATTCCATCAAGACCTTGGTTTTTCATATTTAATAAAGCAAACAAGCATGCTACTTTTATTGTCTGCCGGTTCAGTTGAGAATCGGACACGCCTGTAACTATGTTCACCTAGCTAAACTCAGGATTAGGGATAATTCGCTGTGCGAATGTGATTTAGATGAGAGAATGCTAACCACATATTTTATAACTGCTCCAAATTGTCATCATCTCTACAATTGTCTGCCCCCAGACATCCCTCGTCCCATATACTTTGATTACCACAAATAACTTTTTTGTATATATTTTATGTGATAATATTAGCTCTTAGAACATTAAAATGTAATTTTTTTATCATATAATAACATATTAGTATTATTTTAACAACATTATCTGCCTTTTGTTTAAGAAATGCAACATTTAAGTTGGCCAAAATCAACCACATAATATTACTATTATACACTTTCTTTTATTATCAATTTCTCTTTTTTATGCAGTTTGTGTACCAATTATACCTTTTCGCGTGTAACATGTCATTGGCGAATTCATCATAACCACTATAAAGGAAGTAGAACAGACTGCAATTATACTGGTGTGTATAGTTCAGACCGGAACACAGCCATTCAGGCACTGTTTTTAAGCAGCAGAAATGGGTAAGAAAGTGGAACCCGCCCAAACAGTCTCCTGGGTAGAAATGGAGTCCTACCACTCAATTTACTTAATTTTCAATGTCTTATAATTGGAGTGGAGGGAGCGAATCGAGCAGAGCTCCCATGGTGCAAGAAAACGATTCTTTGAAATCTATCTCCTCCATAACCCGTAGACCAATGTACATAAGTTTTTCGGCAATATTTGTAGCTCAATGCCAGACAAGGTTTGTAAACAATAAAAATCTCTCTATATAATCTTTAAAAGATATATCAAAAGATACTCTATATAATCTCTAAAAGATATAACCAAAAACTAAATTGTCTATGGGAAAATACATGTAAAGCAAAAGCGCACACTTTAGACTTTTACTCCGCTCCATTTATGACGCTTGCAAAAGGTTATACCTTTGCATCTGCATCGGCCTTAGTACTAGACAGTATGTGGCATGTGTTTCTATACAAGTATCAACATAGATTTTAAAATACTTCTGTCTGTGTGTATGTCACTGAAATCCTCCTAAACTGCGGGATTAAACCTAACCCTAAATTTTGTGTGTCTGATTAAGTTCTATTGAGAATGGTTTAGATTCACAATTTGACTCAGTAGGTGGTGTTTTTTTTTATCGAATAAGGGTGACAAACAAGCACATAGTCCACCTGATGCTAAGTGGATGCTGTGGCCCATAGACATCTACATTTATCCTCCATTAAGAATTAAAACACAGATGCATTATCACCCCTGAGGACTAAGATGAAATACCTCGTTATAAGTTTAAGGCTTTCCCACCTATGATGTGTTGTCGAGATCCAAAATAATTCGTGCAAAGTTAATGCTTGCTGTAAATTTCACAGTATGGAAGCAATCCAAGTATGATCCTCACTGGCACCAATGAAATTGTTAATTGCAATTTTAAGTGCTGATTTACCACATGCTCAGCAGTGAAGGAAAACATTGTAAAGAAACCAGAATGTCTGAGATATAAGAAAAAAATACTTCGAAGACATGTGAAGTTTGGCAACACGCATTTGGGCAGCATGTCGGACACTTCCTTGCCATAAAAACCCTCTCAGAAATGAAAAAGGCCTGTGCCCATCAGTGAGACATATATAGGCTGGAACTTTAGCTTTACTTTTTTGCATGTACCAACATAATAACCTTGCAATGTGTGAACTCATCACAAATTGCTGGGCATTAACATACCATTGGCACATAAATTGGCCATCATTAAGAAGCAGTTTTAAGCCTTTTCTAGTCACCATAATGCCCAAGTGATGAAATCCGTTAAATCCTCATACAAGTTCATAAACAGTAACACCTAAAATATATATTGATCAACATTTTTTTCATTCAAAAAATATTCAATTCAGTTAATTTAGTCCTAATATTTTGATATTATATTAATCCTAAAGATTTTTCAATACTACTGCCTCAGCCAGGCTCAAGGCAAGGAGAGTAATATAAATAAAATCGTTGCAAACATACCTGAAGTGAACCCTAAATAAATGTCATTGTGTTCATAATCCACACCAATTAATTGGTACTCCGAAAAGAACATCGACTGCGGTATCTCGCACCACAGTATTGGCGGTGTAGGACCGCTGTTATCATCACTAACTATAAAATAAATCTGGTCTGTAGACAACCTCAATACGCATTCTTTTGATAACTTTGAAATCGTAGATACAATATCTGAAAACAAAACTAACAATTTTTGTGCGTACAAACTTTAAGAAAATATACATAAACATATAACTATAAAAATTACGTACTTGAAAATTCTCTCATCGGGCCAGCATCAATCATAACAGCTCGAAACTTCATTACAAAAAATACTATTACCTACCAATTCTTTAAATAGGTACAAATTATTATTTTGTAGAAACGCTTTAATTTAAATTTAAAGCTCTATCTTTGGTAACCAAAATATTGAATAAAAAAATTGAAATTACAAAAAGTTGAAGTGCTAATAAAAGTTTTTAGGATTCGCGGTTCGCGGGTCGCTGCTCGCTTCATAGATAACATAGATTCATAGATAAAGCAAGCCCATGAACAATGAAGGTTAGAGAACAGAAAAACGATCGCCGTAGAAAATAGTGTCCCAGAAATATGGACACCATTTCATAAGTAAGCCCGTATTTTTTTATTTAACTGGGTTCACGGCTCTGGGTACTAACCCTTTTAAGCCTATCATTTCTTTCAGAATCTTCATCATGAAGGTTAGAGAACAGGAGAACCATCGCCGTAGAAAACAGTGTCCCAGAAATATGGACACCATAAGTGAGGCGCTGAAATCGCTAAGTTCGGTCAACAAAAGTCATTTTCAGTCTATTTTTCCGATCAGATGCTAAACCACTTGCACATCCACGTACAATAAAATCCATATATATAATACAACCATATCAATTCCATTTTTTAATGTTTCTTTTTATCAAAAATTACAAAATTACGGAGCATGAAAATTTTCTCGTTAAAAATTAAATTTAAATTTGTACATTATTCAACTAACTTCATCTACATAAACAGCTAACTTCGCAGTCACTACTCACCGACGTCAGCGCCGCCATATATTCTACAATTTTCAAGGACAGGCGGGCTATGTTTTAGTACGTAGTGATCTTTCTCCGGTTCTCTGACCTTCGTGATCTTCATTTTATGTATTTTTTCTTCACAATATGCTGATGAGTCACATTGCGAAGTTTTTGGGAGTTGATCACGCCGGGTGTTTGGCGTTTAGGTCCCTGGCGATGATGTGGATGAGTGGGTGTCGTGTCGTACCTTCTATAACCGTCCGGACGTTCGTCCGTTAGTTCCTCACCTGCCGCCTCCATTTTTATGCCGATTGAACGCATTGTCTGGAAATCTGGCAGGTCCAGCTCTTGATGGACGATGTCCCTCCTCACCGGAATCGCCGTTCCTCTGTATGCGATCCCTTGAGGGTTGACTTCGTCCCGCTTGTAGATATGGTAATTTGGCAGCTTCAAATGTGTCGTTGGTCTTAATTTGGTCTCTCCCAGCAAGATTACCTGGATGTCCTGTTGCCTGGCGACTGTGCGGAATTCATGGATCCTTTGTTGTATCCCGTCCGGATTCCAATAGAGGAGGCTTAGGTTATTGTCCTCCGTAGTGCCGTGCCAGTAGTGATGCCAGCGCCTTCATAACGGCTGTAATTGGATGTGTACCGGCCCTAATGTCAGCCAGGACTTGAGTGCCGACCTCGATAGCTATGCCTACCAATCTTTGGATGGCATCAGCTGTCTTGAGGCCGGCTGCTGGTGGTGGTCTGCATGGGTATGAAGGTACTAGTCTCAGGATGTTGACGGCTTGCTCTCTTCTTTGGGTAGAGCGCTCTCTATGTGTAGAGCGGGCTCTATTTTCAGATAGAGCCCTTTCTGGCACTCTACTCATCGTGGTCCTAGGTGCTCCTTCTGTAACCTGCGCCTGCGAGGCTATCGGTCCTGCTGTTGTAGGGGTAGAGGTGAAGCCTGAGGAGGAAGCTGCGACGTCTTCTTGCTCCTATTCCTCCGCTTCCTCTTCCATGAGGTCTGGCGCTCTTTGGCGTCGTTAGCGGGGGCTGGAGAGTTGCCCCGGTGGTTGCCCTTGTTTCAGTAGGTTTCACCGTTTCCATTGGTATTGTGGGTGGGGCAGGGGGGGGCTGACTGCCTACCCCTCCCTCTGACGGTGGCCCGCCCATCCTCCTGGATGGTTACTGCTTTTGGTTACCGACTCTGCGGAATCCTCTTCGGGTCCTCCGGGAGTAGCCCCGGCAGAACGATCCCCTGCTTCCTGGCAATCCTCCTCAGGACTGGGCAGCGGCGATCATTTGCCGTGTGGTTTCTAGTGCAATTGGCACACTTCGGCTCTTCCTCTCTACCCCTTGAGCAAAGGCTGGCGATGTGCTCCCGGCGAAGTTGGAGACATGCCCGAAAACCTGGCAACGGTGGCATTGTGCCAGTCCTACTTTCCTTTGCCAGGCTTCGATGTCGACTCCTCTCATACTGAGGAGCTCGTCAATTTTGTATAATTCTGGAGCCGTTCCAGGCTCAGGTGGTCCAACTGTGTATGGTAGAGGCATCCAGGTCTACCTCTACGTGGTGGTATGGCCTTAACGTAGTTGATTGAGAAGCCCTTTGCCCGGATAGCCTCCTCTATTCTTTTGGTGTCAGTGCCTACTGGCAGTACCCGGATGTCCACTTTAGTGGGCTTCTCCTCCTCCGGGATATAGCAGTACCATGACATTGATGGTAGCTCCTTCGAGAGCTCGACCATGTATCGTTGGATGGTTCTAAACTCATCAGGGCTCTGCGGTAAAAATCTTATACCCTTCCCGAACGGATGAGCATTAGGAGGATGGCCCAGCTTTCTGTTGAGCTCCTCGAAATGTTTCGTCCAGTCCGGGAGACATTCTGCCACGATGGGTGGGTATTTTGCCATCTCCTTCTCTGGCTTTTTGGGCTCTTCTGTCGCTTGGGATCGTGGCACTGCTGGAGCTGCTGCCATGTGGGCATAGCTGGTTGAGGGCCGTTGTCCGTCGTCCTGCAGTAACCCGGACGGGTTGGAGATCTAACGAATTGAAAATTGAGCAACTTACTAAGGCACTTCTGAGCTAAACCGTTAGGTGAGCCGTGCGCGAAACCCCCACCCTCATTATACGATAATTTTTACTATCATAAAATAGCTGTATTTCACAAAAAGTCCAAATTAAACACATCATAAAGACTATTAAACATTCACATCTCTTAAAGCATTGATAACATATTATAAAACTTCTTAATCTTACAAGAACTTTCCTATAATATAAAACGTTAAATACAGTTTTATAATACAGTTTCAATTTATATTTTCACCTATAGTATATAATACATTAGTTTAATGCAAGAATTAAAGCTTTAAGCCGATCTTTAAGCAAAACTTTAAGCAGAAATAAATCTTTAATCTACTACAAATTTTTCTCATTTTTACGCTATGTAACCACTATAATAGAACTTTATTGACATTTCTATTATCTTATTCTAATACAAAATTTAACCAAAACATTTTTAACAAACAAGTTGCTATTTCATACATTTTAAAACTTTAAATAAAAAATATTATTTTAATCACTCAATGTTCTTCAGAAATGGTTCAGGCTTGCATTTTTCTTCTCTGCTAATTGCCTGCAAAAGTTGACAAATTCTTTACAACACTGACTTCTATTTAAGCTTACTTGTAATAGATGTCAGTGTGTGGAGTGTAGAGGTAAAGAGTACAGACTCTGTATAAAAAAGTGACCGTCGGAAAGCGTTAAATAAGGGTGGTGCCACTTTAGCTACAGTCTAAATTTTGAAGAACTTTTAATAATTTTTTTACTAACAGTGGTAAATTAAAAAAGTGACTTTCAATAAGTATTTTTATAATCTACATTGAATAAAAAAGTTTCTATTTCTATTTCTACTGCACAGACTTTCACCATAATTCTTTTTACAATAATTATTTTATTGCTTTCAAAAGTTTTATTTTCAAAATCACTCTCATCGTATTTTACGGCGATTTAATACACCCCGTAGCTACTCGAGCGCTGTAGTGGAGAGTTTTTGAACTGTTAATTACGGCTTGTAGATGGACAATTTTAAACTATTCTCCTGTGGGAGTTGGTACTCCTTACTTTTACACTCCATAGGTCGGTGCTTTACACGAACCTCTGGATTGTGGAGTGTAGAGGTAAGGAGAAAGGACTGTGTATAAAAAAGTATTCGTAGAAAAGCGTTAAATAACGGTGGCGCCACTGTAGCTAGAGGGTAAATATTAAAGAACTTTTTATAACATTTTATTGCACAGACTTTCATCATAATTCTTTTTATAATAATTATTTTATTGTTTTCAATATTTTTACTTTCGAAATCATTCTTATCGTGTTTTATGGTGACTTTTTCTCGGTTGTATTTACTATATTATTTTAGACGCGAGTAGTTGAGGTTTTAAATACTGTGGTTTCATCAACTACTTTAGATACCACATATATTAAATTCCTCAACTCAGCACATTTCAATCCGTCGATAACTGCTAAGTTCATTTCATACCCTCTAGCTACTCTAGGGCTGTTGGAATTTTTATTTACTGCTTACAGATGGACACTTTTTCAACTAGTCTCCTGTGTAATTGGATCTCTTTACCTCTACACTCCATGCTCTGGATCCTATAAGAGGCTCTTGACATACCTTCTAATATTTCGATTTAAATTATCGATACTGATCATTTATTTATTTGATTTAATCGATTTTAGTCATCAATTGCTTAATACGTAATACGTAATTCGTTATGACGACGACGCTATGCCTAAATACTAAGAAGAACTATAGTTGGGTTATTTCATATTGAAGCTTAGAGCTGTTATGATCTTAGACCATTTTTAAGTCACTTTTGTTGTTAAATAACTGATTTCGTAATTTTGAGGTGAGTCTTAATCGATTTAATAATTTTGAGGTGATATGAAAGTTTGGAATACCTACAATTCTTTGATCGCAGATCATAGTAAGATATTGTACGTACTAATAATTTCATTTATCACATTAACTACTACGGCTACAGATAAATTAAAATACACTATGCCATTTTCAAATTATGTACCAAAAATTAAAAAAAATATACACATTTTTTTTAAGATGTTACCCCTACACTAAGATTTTCTCCTGTATCGTGGGGACAGTTTACAATTCACTTGTCGATGAGTTAGTTTGCCCAATTTCTATAAGATTTATGTTCACAACAAGTGACAGAATAGATATAGTCATCTTGAGGTTTTTAAAAAC